TTTCCCAAAAATAAAAACATTTCTTTAGCACTTGATGGTGTTTTGTTTTTGTTTCTGGTATTTCATAACAAACTGTAATACTAGCCGAGAAGGAAAACAAGGAAGTGCCAAAAGGAATACAAAGCAGAAAAATGTAGTAGTAATGCAATAGATAACAACATCAGCAGTTGTTGAAAAAAAAGAAGTGCCACTAAATCATAGTTCTTTTCGAGGGTGTAACAGGCTATGCTAAAAGCAGAAAAAGCTGATATTCTCTCTAACAAAAAAAAAAAAAAAAAAAATGAAATATTTCATTCTTTAGTTATTTTTCGGTTTATTTTTGCTTTTCTCTTGGTTTTTTCTCTTTGTTTATTTGGGTGTTTCAATTTTTCTGCTTAGTTATTTTCATTTCTTTTCTGGGGGTTTTTATTTCAATTCGTATTCCCGTTAAAAATGTATTTAATAATTTTTTAATATTTCTCCCTCTCTTTTGTTTTATTTTTTTTTCGTTGTCCATCATTGTGGCCATTTTCTGTTCATCGTATGGAAATGGTCATTCATTTAGTTAGTTAGAAAAGGCAGAAGCAATGGACAAAAATTAACATTATCGGATAGTGGATGGGTAAAAACAAGTGTTGTCAATTTGCAGAGTTTTTTTACTTGTCCACAAATGCCTTGTTGACCTCGAAGTGAGGCACCAGCAAAATTCTCATGTTGGTCGGTTAGCTAAGTACTTCGCTTTGTTACATAAGACATTTGGGTATAAAAGATTTTTTGTAAATAAGCAATAAATAGCTTCTCAGAACTAAAGGAACTGATGAGGATCAATGGCACGATGCGAAATTTAATGGACCCTGACTTTTGTGAGAAAAATTACAAAATTGGTATTCTATAGCGTACATATTTATCCCTGTAGGATATAGACCCGAGAAGCTGATATTATATCCAAGAGGAGTGGTTGACCTTTAAATTGAAACCAATTATATTGTCGTATGTTCTCAGATGTGAAAGTTACATTTAAATATTCAGATATTCAGATATTATTTAGTAACCCATTACCACACTAGAGGTAGGAAGTATAGCTTTGAAATTGTCCATGAGGATCCAGGTATGGCCAAGGACAACGCCTATAATTTTCGGTGATGATCATATAATAATATTGGGATGAAGTGGACCGAAAACTTATTTTTGTTGTGTTTTTTTTTCGAGTCGATATATAGGCCACAATTGAACGCCGAACATCAAAACACAACCCACGGTGAAGGGAATCTGGACAAGTAATTAGAACGGATGTACTGCATATTAGTAATATTTGTTGACCTCTAGTCGGTCAAGTGGGTGGAAATATCGAGAAATATTTTCCATGCTCAGAATATAAAACCACAGAAAATTAGATTTTCGTGGAAGTTGTGTAGGGTAACATATGGTCGGCCCCGTCCGACTATAATGCCCCACTCACCCTAAGTGACGGGAATTGTTAAAAAATATATTTTTTTCATCCACATTTATAAGAGTGTTTTTTTTGAAATGTTGTTGCATGATCCCGTCTTAGAGTATTTTTAATCGTTCAATGGTTCATGGTCCGTTAAAAGCGTGGTTTTTATTAAAATTTTATTTATTAAAAATATTTTTTTCAGAGACTCGTACTGGCCTGGATTTTTTATATTGACGTGGAACCTTTTAAGATTTTTTTATTTTTGCTGACCCATTAAAGTTTTGAAAATCCCTTAAGCATGGATTTTTAAACCCTATACAACAACCGCATTTTGTGGCCCCAAAGTTTGTAACGCCCTGAAATATTGGCCCTTAACACAATTTTTAGAATACCGATCATATCTACTCCAGCTGAGACGATCTAGACACCGGTTCAGGCCAAAGAAGACCCCTATGTATTTTGATAATAATCGGTTAGTTTTTAGGGGATGAAATGGACCAAAAACATTATTTTTTTTTGGCGCTCTATAGACCAAAATTATGACCCGAAATTTTACGCAGAGAAAGGGGTCCGACCATGGAACAAGTATAACAAGTATAGATGGTAAATTTTTACTACTGAATGACATATACCAGAAAAGTGGAGCGTATTACCAAGAGGAGTAGTTGACTTTTGAATTTATACCAATTATATTGTTGTATGTATTTGGATGTGGGACTTATACGTAAATATTTACAGAGGTCTACCTATACTCATAATATTTAGTATTGTCATTATCACGAAAGAGGGCAGAAATATTGTGTGGATCGCTTTGAAATTTTACAGGCAGTTTCGATTATGGTAAACGACGACGCCTATAATTTTCAGTAAAGATCGAATGATACTTAGAGGTCGTGTGTGTTTTTTAAAGTCGCTTTACAGACCACAATTTTAAGCCGAACATCACAACACACAGGGAAGGCCAAATATAGTGAAATATTGCTCAGGCTCAGAACGTAGACCGCGGAAAGTATGTGTAGGCTATACGTGGTAGTTATGGAGGACATCATAGGGTCGGCACGGTGCGGAATTAAAAACCGCTCACTGGTTTAAAATATTACGTTGGGGAAAAATAAATCCATTATGAAAATGTCGATAAAATCGGAGAAATGATCGAAGTTTACCGGCATGTTACCATTCGTTACATCGTCCAGAAGCTAAAAATCGATCATAAAACTGTTTTAAACCATTTACACAAACCTGAATTCAAAACGAAGCTCGATGTTCGCATGCTACGCCTATTGACAGAAAAAAAGGATGGATCTAATTTCCATCTGCGAAGTCTTGGCCAAACGGAATTAGATATACCCATGTTTTAAACGGGGGGTGACTGGAGATGAGAAATGGATCACGATCGTGGTCAAAGAGCGGTGAAACACCTCAAACGTTGACCAAACCAGGACTAACGGTCAGGAAGGTTCTGCTATGCATTTGGTGAGACTGGAAGGGTATTATTTATTATAAGTTGCTTCCATATGGACAAACGCTAAATTGACCAGAAAAAAAAATTGTTCGAATTTCTATCTGCTAAGCCTTGGCCAAACGGAATGAGATAGACCCATTTCTTAAACGGATGGTGACTGGAGATGAGATATGGATCACATACCATAATCCTGTGCGAAAACGATCGTGGTCAAAGAGCGGTGAAACACCTCAAACGGTGACCAAACCAGGACTCGCGGCCAGAAAGGTTCTGCTATGCATTTGGTGGGACTGGAAGGGGATTATTTATTATAAGTTGCATCCATATAGCCAAATGCTAAATTGACCAGAAAAAGGGTCAGAATTGTCCAACAGGACAACGCAAGGTCACACATATTTACAGTGACTCGCCAGAAACCCAGTTTGTTGTTTTTATAAAAGCCTGACTATTTTGCAAAAACAAAACATAAATGGTATTCCCAAATAACCCGACAACACTACTGAATAATGGATTTATTTTTCCCCAACCTATTACTTTTATCGATTTGTACACATTTGTTTTCATGGATCCTCATAAGTGTTCTCCAGTGTATTGGACAAATTTAATTCATCGTTTAAAGAAGACTTTTTATGACTGAGGTTTAAATATATATATATATATATATATTCCTGCATGGGTATTTTTTTAATTAATTTTTCTATAGAATCTTGTGAGCATTCATGTGTTAAATCGTTTTACAGGGATTAGAAAATATTTTCTATAGAAAGTGGATTTATTTAGCTCAAGTTCATGTCATGCCTTCATATTCCAAATGAGATCTACGTTTGTCTATATATTGGTCCGTATTAATTTATACATTATGTATACTACATGGATTCATATATATTATAAATATATATTTGTCCAAATCATGATATTTTGGAATACAGCTCAAATTGTTATACATATAGTGAAAATGTATTTATTTATTTCATATTATAAAAAATTTGATTTTTAAATTCGTAATTGTCATCACTGTTTGTCGTTTATAAACGACTTTATTTTGGGCAGTAGGTTGTTTATCATTTTTATGTTTTTGCTAAAGCATTTACACTGTACTCTTAGCTTTGCTTCATCGATTTTTTTCTTTCATATTATTCGTTAAAAATGTGGACTTCAATTTCATTTCTTGTACTCCATTTCTATGAAAAATTGTTGTCACTAGTTTGTAAGATTTTAAAAACGCATATCAAAGTAATTTTTTGGGTTTTTTGAATAATACTTCTCACATAACTTTTCTTTACATTGCAAATCTAATGGGCCAGCTTTGCGTATGAGTTATACACATTCACAGAATAAGTGCACCACTCATCACCCATACGCAGTGGAGCACAACAATGTTCAAAGTTATTAATTTTGTTTGGAAATGTAATTTTCTTTAATTGTAAATTGTGTTTCTCGATTTTGATTTTTCAAGATTTTCAATGGGCTGGTAAATCAATACCAATGCTTGTTAAGGTTTGTAACTTTACACATATATAATTGAAGATTTAGAAGAGAAGAAAAATAATTTAGAAAAAAATGTTGTTGTTGTTTTTTGTAATTAAAGAAAAGTCCTTATTTTCGATGGCGGGCATGATAACTCCTCACTGGAACATCGGAATCCGAAAATTCCAACGGTGTTAGAAAGAGTACATGTCTGGCTCTCGTATGAACTAGGATTATTGACTTCGCTCCAAAATTAACAAAATGGTGGACCTCTGAAAAAATATTTTTGGAAAATCGCCGATTTTTTACCAAAACCCAAGTCAAAAAATAAGGAAGACCTTCACCGATTGGCTTTATCCTAGTTCATACGATAGCTACACACTCACAGAGAAACGTGTAAAAATTTGAAGTCGATTGGGTTGTTAGTTTTTGAGTTATCGTGCCCGCCATTGGCAAAAAAATGTTTAGAGAAAAACGCGTTTAAAGTTTGAGAAGCCCTTCAGCCGTCACTTGATGCTGACACAATAAATCGGCTATATCTTCAAGACTTCTTGAGATTTTCATTTGAAATTTTGTAGGGACATTATTTAATTAGAGTAGATTCGAATTATATCAACAAAATTTTTGACCCCGAGAATGGGGTCAAAAAAAAAAATAAACTTACCTATATTCATGTGACATGAAGAAGGTACCACGAATGTTGCAGCCATTGGGATTTTTACGTTTGCCATTGAAAATCTTCAAATAATGATCGTAGTTATTCAAATTGACAGCACCATCGAAGGTCAACATAATCATTTGGGGGATCTGTAAGAAAGGGCGAATAAACCAAAAAATATTAGGCATAGAATTTATTTATTTTTATTTTCAAATATAAAACTAATACCAATGTGTAACAAGATTTTGAGGGGTGGGAAATTCCATATGGACATGAAAGCCTTTGGGGTGTATAATAAGAATCCAGGTGGAACAATTCGCTATAGGTTAAATTGTCCATGAATTTTTTTCGTAACTCTAAAGTTACCAACAAAAAAGGTAATTTTTATTCATGTCTTGCTACTATTGATATATTTTTTTAATTTTCAATATTTTATTTCAATACTCCTTTCAATTGTGCATTTTCATTTTCCAATAAAAAATCTATAACAATTTCCAGATCATTTACCAAGACCACAATAACCAATAATATCGTTTCAACTACATTATCATTTCTCACTAGTTATGAGATTTATTTAATAGACTTATAAATATTTAATGTTTTTTTAATGTTTTTTTCTTTTCTGCAGTTTTTGCGATTTCACAATACCACTATTGTCCATTGCAACAACAACAGAAGCAAAAAAAAAAAAAAGAAAGAAATACTAGCCAAGCATAAATAGCCATATTGACACAAAATGACGGACATTCAAGGAATTCTTGGAATTTTTGTCACTTCAACTTCAAGTAAAATGCAAATCTAATATAAAACCAGTGAGCGGAGCAGTATAGTCGGACGGAGCCGACCATACGATATCCTAAACAACTACCACAGAACTTTATCATTCTGTGGATTTTTATTCCGAGCCTGGGCAATATTTCGTAATATTTGCACCCTCTTGCCCGATTAGAGATCAACAGCTCTTCCTTACACTGACATATTTTCCGAATATTTCTAATATTCGGTACATGTCCATATTCCACTCCCCGTGGGTTGTGTGGTGATGTTGTCTTATAATTGTGGCCTATATATCGACTAAGAAATTAAGTTTTCGGTCCACTTTATCCCAAAATTATTATCTGATTATCACCGAAAATTATAGGCGTTGGCATTGAGCATAACTGGAAACTCATGGAACATTTCACAGCGATCAGCGCTATATTTCCGCCCTCTAGTGTGGTAATGGATTACTAAATAATATCTGAATACGTAAGCACCTGTAAATATTGAAGTGTAACTACCGCATCCGAGTACATACGACAATGTAATTGACAGACGGACGGACGCATATGTCTAGATCGACTCAGCTAGTCGAGATATGACGATCTGTATATGACGATCGGTCTAGGACCAATATTTCGCGGCGTTACAAACTCTTGGGGCTGCACAAAGCTATAATACCCTGACAACTTAGTTGTGTAGGGTATAACCAGTAAGGAAAGTTCAAAAGTCGGACGGGCCGACTATATGACACCCTTCACCACTTTGGGTACATGCAATACATGTTAATATCTACAATATCCTGTAGGTAGAACGGCAATAGAATCTTTGGAGGACCATTGAGATGGAGTCGGACAAAATTAAATGTGATATCTAGATAAATATTTGAACCAATTGAAAATTGCATGTCAAACGGACAGACTTGGATACTTTGGTGTACCATTTGTATGAAATCGAGTCAAATTATGTATGGGAGCTATATATAAACACATGGACCTAATTGAGTAACCGTTACATATACCATTTGTTTTTTTGTAATCACCATATTCAATTTAATACCCTCTGCCAAATTTCGTGTAACCACCATTTACATAAAATGGAACGAAACTATACATGACCTTATCGAAATCTGAGCCGATTTCAACAAACCTTATCACGCATCATTTTTTTTCTCAATAGCATTCGCTATGCAAAATATTTACAAATGTTGGGAGTTTGGTGCATCATTTACATAAAATAGAACGAAACTATATATGGGAGCTATATCTAAATCTGAACCGATTTTCTCCAATTTCAATAGGGTTCGTCCTTGGGCCAAATAATTGAACTGTGCCAAATTTCATCCAAATCGCATCATAAATTCGAACTGTACTTTGCTAACAAAAATACATGGACGGACGGACATACGTAAATCCAATCAGAAAGTGATTCTATGCATATTCCCAAAAGGAACCATGGGTCTATCTCGATTCCTTTTGCCTGTTACAAACATATGCACAAAGACATAATACCCTGTACCACAGTGTGGTGAAGGGTATAAAAGTAAGGCAGAAAAATGCGAAAAAAAATATTTCTAAGAATTCTTGAATTTTTTCTCTCTCGCCATAAAACGTTTTCTATGCCAGCAGAAGACGGTGGAAACACAAGTGGGCGAAGGAATGACAATTTTCATAATAACAACAGAAAAACCAAAGCCAACGAAAAAAATAATAAACCGGAAAAAATGTATTTACATTTCCACTTGTCGACGACAAATAAGGGAAATATTTGTCACTTTAACATTCAACGGATCTCAGAGGGACGGGGGGAAATAATTTTTTTTTTCAAAAAAAGGAAAAAAAGAACACAGAAAAAAATTGGAATGCAAAGTTCAAGTGGCGCTGAAGGTGCCCGCTTGTGATGACGTTGAGGAAAAGTGGACCTTAAGTAATACGCGAAATGATACTTTTCATAAATAAATTGGGCCGAGTGGTGGTTAGTAGGCGGAGGAGCAGCAACTGCTACCAAACATTTGCATCCGCCACCATTGCAGTTAGCATGAAAAAGGTTAGCCATTGCCCTTGCGCTGAGGTAAAATGAAAATTCAATGGTGCTGCTGTTTTGCATCCGGATTATGGTGGTGTTAGTGAAGGTGGTAACTGGTGAAGGCGGTATCTGGTGAAGGTGGCAGCTGGTGAATGTGGTAGTATTTATGTTGGCTATTTTGCCTCATAGCCTCATTTCTTGGAATTTTCGTTCTACATTTTTTTGGATTTTATGATTATTTTTTTTAGACCAATCCACTTCTTTCCCTTTTCCCTCTCTTTTCCAACCTTTTTCTTTGGAGTACAACTGCAAATCTTTTGGTTTATGGTTCGAATGGTTTGTTTTATGTTTTCACTACTGCTGAACTGGCCTTAAATCATGGCATAATAGAAATACCAGGGAAAATATTTGTGAATTTTTGCAGAGTTTAGATTTTTGTTTGTTGTTTTTTTTTTCTTTCATTCTTCCTGTCTATATATTTTGACACTTGCCATGGATCCAAATGTTTTTCGTTTTTTTTTGAATAGTCAATGATGTTATTGAACTGAGGAGCATCGGAATTGAAGTGTATGAATAATAAGTATTGACAGATGGTTGGTATGGATTTGAATGCCGGGATAAATGGATTGATGGTGTTTCATAGCTGCTTGTTGTTGGTTGAATGAATGAATAGATGGACGGATGACTAGTGGTGGCCTGCCGATTGTTTGTTATGAATAGACGGATATTTAGTTGAATAGCGATTTCTTTGTTGTTTTTTTTTTCTCTGGAATATTTTTTTTGTTTGGTTACCAACCCAAATCTTTGTTGTTTCATTGCAAAGCATATTGAGGCCAATGATGGGGAATAATGAGTTGGTGTTGGTATTAAAGGGGTAAAAATATAGGTTTTTAATGGTGACACTTCTACATCGTAATGGTTATAGATTTTAGAATCATCTGAATTTTTTTGATCTTCAAAAATTATATTTTATGTATACACTCTAAAATTATGAAAATATTTCCTATTTTTATTTTATCCGTCATAGAAAAAAAGGAATAGACTATGTGAAAGGTTTATGCATTAGGTCATCCAGTAAGGCCAGCTTTTATCTACATATTTTTTCCAAAATATATTGAATTTGAAAAAAACAACCATATTTTGATTTGACAAATTATCAAATAATATACAAAATGTTTATCAAAAATTAATGAAATTTTTTTCAAAGATATTTTCGCCATAACAACAACTTTTGACAGAAAAAATAGATTCGCCTTCTGGATGAACTGTTATTTGGGCCATGACTATGAGAATAGAATAGCAATAACTGAAAACCCCTTTATATTAAGATTCCTTTTCACTTCATCTTTCATATCGTCTATATGCCTCAACATCGAATTTTGCACAAAAGAAGGAAAGGTACATCCCATCACATAGACATTTGTATTTTGCCTAGGTTCCAGGTAAACTCCCCCATGTTAAATTTCAACATATCTTTCTAAATGTTTCAAATGTGTGTTTCTATCCACTCCGAAATTTCAGGGTTGACAAATTCGATAGATTTTGAAGTTTCGATTAATAGTCAATTTAAAACTTATCCATAATATCCCACACAACAACGTTGTGAGGTTATAATACGCTTGCTTGGCCCGATCGGCACGTTTATATGGGGACTAGGTCATTGCATTATGTGGGTTTTTACGCTCTAAGTTTTTTTTTTTCACCCGGTATCCGATTGCCAAATTAAATGACTGTAATAGAGAAAATTCACTTAAAAACAAAATAACACCGAAAATTGGACGGGATGATATTGGGGGGATACTATTAAAACTTGGACTTGTATTGAACATTTTTCGGAAAATTGACAATGAGACGCTATCTTAATATGGAGGCTATCAAAGCAAAACATAGACCTATATTGATTATTTTTTGTATATATGTATGTATTACAACCTTCGAGAAGCCTACGAAATTATAGGGGGTGGGAAAAGTCGTCTGAAGCCTTAAAAACAACTAAAATGGGTCGATACCGTTATATGGAGCTATATCTTAACGTAAAACGACATTTATAATTGTTGGTAGGGAGATGCGATACCCCACGAGAATATGAAAAATTAAATTAGAGCTAATTGGGTTGAAAAACTTGCTACCAATATAAACTCCAATTTTACGGGAAGTTCCTATATTAACATCCCGAAAAGAGATTGTGTAAAATCTGCTCAAACTCCCCAGAAATACCAAATAATGGGGAGATACCATAATATGGGAGCTTTTTGGTAGTGAGATTGTTTACTAAAATACAAAATAACAGCTATTTCGTTCAAAAAACACACCCGAAATACAAAAAATTCGGAATATGGGGGTTTTCGCTTTATGGGGGCTTCCC